GCGTGCCATCCCTCTAGCACGTTCATACCACCAGGTCTCATGAACCTCCAGTAAGATCCAGGGGTCGGCCTCCCTCACTACAGTACGAGTCGGCCGGAATCAAGCGGCCTCAGTCTATCAGCGACAAGGAGGCAGAGGTGATCCAGCTTTTTGGCGGATAACAAGCAACTCCACAACTGACAGTACTAGCAGAAATTAAGGCGTCCTTGATGCGCATCCACTGCGAATTCATACCATCGTCAGAGGATAAAGCAAGCTGTGATGACAAAGAGCAGCCTGGTACTGGTGTGCGCTCGTTTTATCTTTCGGTCTACATAGTGTACCTTTCAGAGTGGTAGTTGGTATATGGGCTAGCATTAGGTGGTACGGCTTGAGGAGTCGGGCAGTCATTTCAGATACTTTCTTGATATACGGCAATGCGACCCTTTTCTTTGTTGTTGATTCATGTGTAGCATTTATGATCTTGAAGTTTAGGTGTCTTCGGATGAAAATACGTGAATATCCGTTGCGCATGAAGGATGCAAACATGTGGTTTTTTTCTTCTCGTTTTGCTTCCGCAGTATCGCAGTGTGATTCTATCCAGCGAAATAAGATCGGTATGCAGTTGATTTTGTGACAGGATACAGGATACAGTGTAAAAATTGTGATAAACACTATGTGGGCCAAACGGGGAGAACATTAGCTACAAGGCTACATGCGGTGGCTGGACCGTAATCCACTCCACATTGAGTGCATGGAACCACTCTTAGAGCCTAGCACAACAACAAGGACCGTGCACCCCGACCCCTCCAGCAATGACCAACTGTCTCCTGGAGTCAGTATGGACGAGGTAGTGGGTAATGGACAGGTAGGCACCTTGTCGACATGTACATCAAGGGCAGCCACATCTGAGATGTCAAACAACAGTCGCTCATTCGAAATGCCGAGATCAAATAAAGGATATCGAATAAAGTAAAGCTATATGATGACATGAATACTCGCTAAATGAGCATATGGAAAAAATTGGTTGTAAGCGAATCCGTGATAAGTACAAAATGTCCAAAGGTATTTAAAAAATACCAGGTGATAAAGTTACGCAAGTTTACCAGGCAAGCGATGCATAGACGCAGGAAAACATAGGTACAGTTTCGTGCACACCAACTTATGATCAGCTTTGCGCAATGCACGCGTCATGTGCAGTTCACACATGTCACGCTGGCGTGCGATGACATAGTCGAGCAGGTGAGTGTGACCACACCGTGGTGCGTCCAATTAGCTATACCACTCGCACCCAGTCCAAACCGGATGTTCGGTATCGTCAGGCCGTGGAAGATGCGCAGCGACAGCAGTCGGTCACTGTTCCCGTTGGCTGAGTCAAGACCATACGGAACGATTACGTCTATCCACACTGCGGCATCAAACTAAACGCGCGTGTTGAAATCACCCAGTAAGAATAGACGGTCGTTCCTCGGCACAAGCCGTATCATGGAGGACAAATCAGTGTAAAACTGATCCCCCGTATTATCAGGATAACACAAGGGGGACCATACGTGCTAATGAAAGCTGCAAACGTCCACAGCGCAGATGAAGGATCATCAACCGTGGGCTGATGCCAGTCGGCTTCTACCATCATCAACAGCAGTACATCAGCCATTTGAACTGATGCTTCGCTGCCATACAACCATGAGGACCTATGAAATAAAGAATACGAGTGAGTGAAAGGGGGACTTACCTGAAGACCTTAATGCCCTAAGCAAACATTCAGGGTCAAGGCGCCTACACCTTGTGTAGACAACATACTGTCACAAACAGCTGGCTATCGTGCAAAGATAAGGCGGCATCGGCGAGACAGCTTCCTTGCGGCTTTCACTGCCACGCGTCATAATCAGCCATTACCCCGCAGATAACTCAGCACCAAACACACTTTAAACAGACAATCCGATTAGGAGACGGCAGCAGACGCGCCACTGGTGTCGGTTGCGAGCCATGTCCTGTAAAGTCTCGAGCCAAGCACAAGGCGAGTCAAGTGGACTCCAGCCCGGAGGCCAAGAACGACCAACGGCACCCAGTTTGGTCGTCAGTGACTTCATTGTCCGCTGTCATGTCAACTTCTGTCCACCACGAGCCTTGCGCCACCCTACACCTGGTAAACTGAACAAGGCCCTCCTAGGTAAGCAGTGACCAGGCATACCTGGCACGTTCCCAAGCCAACGCAACTTATTCAGTGCTATCTGTTGTTCTAGGATGCTAGCATGATTATCATTACCCAGTACTCGCCTACGCACATCATTGTTGCGGACACGTTGGTGCCATCCAAAACCAGCAATGCTTCGCAAACAACGATGATCAAAGACTTGAAGGCGCCTCAGATGGTCAGAACGAAGGGGCCAAGTTTCACTACCATACAGCAGAACGGCCCTCACTGTGGCCTTGTATAAACGGCCTTTCAAACGCAGGGAAACTCCCTTCTGTCGCCAAAGATGACGCAGGTTCAAGAAGGCAGCTCTGGCTTTTGCAATGCGTGAGCTCACGTCCTTTTCTATGCGCCCATCATTGCTGATGCAGCTGCCAAGATAAGTGAAATGGTCAACCACGTCGAGTTCCTCGTTAGCAAGCGTCAAGGGGTCATCAAGTGGCTGGTGGTCCTGCAACAACACTTTGCACTTTGAAGGTGCGAAGTGCATACCAAATAATGGGACCACTCTGGACAAGCTATTCACAGGTACTCCAGTACGAGCGGCAATCCAGAATGGAACCGCGTCATCTGTAACTTATGGCTATGTGGTCAATTTGGGTCCATCGCTGGCCAGCTACAGGTGGACGCCAAGTGGTACTTCGGCGCCCAATGTGTCTAAAAGCAGTGCTACTAAGAAACAACTGGTGCTCCGCACACAGTTGCAGCAGACGCTCGCCGTTGTCAGTCCGTTCCGAGTTAAGTCCATACTTACCACCCAGCTGAGCTTCTGAAGAGCTCAGACGCCCTACTTGTGCGTTCATATCCCCTACAAGTACTATAATATCTGAACTAGTAGCACAGCGTAGTAGGGCGTTCAGTTCGTGATAGAAAGTGTCCTTGACTGCATTAGAACTGCAGTCGGTGGGAGCATAAACGGAAACCACAAGCAAACAGCGTTTTGTTTTACTTCGCGAATTCACCTTAGCTGATGTCGTTAAACGGGTTGCACATAAACGGATGTTTACCGGAATCCAATCAACCAACGACGACGCAGCCTTGGAGCTGAGAATGATACCTACACCAGCTTGACCCGTGAGTGCCGCATCGGCGTCTCCGGATGCGTGCAACCAATAACGAGAGGATAAGCCGGGTGCAGTCAATTCAATAACCCCGTTAGGGTCATTAATCCTAGTTTCGGACGCACAACACACATCAATACCCAGTGTGTTCAAGGTGCGTGCGAGTGCAGCCTGCTGACCTGTTTGTCTTAGAGCGCGGACGTTGAATGTCGCCATGGAAACGGGACAGCGTGGCCTTATAAGGGACTTTTGCCGATAGGCGTCCGATAGTTGCCGTGGGATGGTGGCTGCAGATGGTTCTACTCCAGTAGCACTTCGGTTGCTGTCAATTAAGCTGGGAATTGTAGAAGGAAGGTTAGTAATGGAGGCCGGGATAGGAGTAAGAGTAAAAGGTGGAAAAGAAAGAAGGGAGGCGCCAGCAGTTGCATGTTTTCGTTTATCCGCCCTGCTGTATACAGCAGATAAGGCGACCCTTGATAATCTGCGCGACGGCCGATGCAGTATGAAGTTTATGTTGAAAGAAAATGTCATGGTTGTATGTGGGCTGGGATACTGCCATGGCGCCCAGACCTAGACAGGAGGACGATTAGGGTCCTCATCCAATGCCTTTGGCTCAAAAGCCTGTCCAGAAGGCATCGGGGAGGTGGCAATGATTTAGTTTTATAGAAATGCACGCCATCCCATTTCAAACCCCCAATCTGGAGGACCAGGAGACTGAGTTTGTCTGACCTCTCATCATTGACCAACCTGGTAGGAGTAGCTCTCAAGATGCTCGGAAGCATCACCCAGTATAGCTCAACGGGTCAATGAGGTACGCAAACCGTCGCACCACGTTAAGGTCCAGTCTCGTTGCGACGGCGACTTCTGCCACCAGCTGACCATGTAGGTGGTCGGATAATGCAAATCCCCAAGTTCACTTGGTGCTATGTTGGCGTTTCCCACCCACTACCTATACCCAGCAACAGCCTTATGCAGCTCCCCTCGGTCGGGCCTCACTCAGTGCGGAACGTCAATACCGTAGAGCGCGAGTTACGGCGCAACCAGCGCAGTATTGTGTTCGAGTTGCCCACTTGTGTTCCGTCGAGTGTGTGCCCATTCCAGCACCAAATGTCGAGTCTTTTGCGCAGAGACATACGACTGCGTCGAGCAACCTGTTACGCGGTAGCCTGGATTGTAGGAAATAGTGGGTTAGCTGAAGTGAGGACTTGGGCAGTGTGTTCAGGGAAAGAAGAAAGGAGGCGTCAGTGGGAGCATGTTTTGCCTATCTATCCTGCTGTATACAACAGATAATTTGACCCTTTTTGATCACCCACCGCTGCGCGAAGTTGATACAGCATGGCATTAGCCGTATTGGTGTATTTCACGGTTTGGTTTTAGACTGGTGTGCTGCCAGCGCGTAACCACCTGAACGGGATAACGACTCGAGTCCTCAGCCAAAGCCTTTGCCGGAATTTACACCCCATAGGTAGTGCGTCGTGCGTCATTATTCAGTGAACTGACTCACGCGCAGCTGGGTATTTTGGTTCCTACATTGGAGGAGAGTGTCACCCAACTCTCACCCAGCGGTTAGCATGAGGAGGCGTCTGTGACATGAGTCGACGGCACAATATTAACGTCAGAAGAGTAAGAATCTGTTTGAACCCCGACACCACAAAACAGCCTGCTGTGGACACTTCTGTTGATAACAGAAGCTATATAAGTCATAACAGTTGCAAAAATACTGAATTCCTATTTGCTGCACAGTGATTTAAGGTGATGCAGCTTACCATTCAGCCCAGTAAATGCAGGCCGCGACGGGACAGGTACTCCTTGCCAAGTATCCACAATATTCCTGGGGTAATCGGGTTCTGGAGCCACACGTCCAAAAGGACCGGCCCGGTCGTCCAACTTCCAGTATTTGTCACCAATAAACAAGTAAATCGCCTTCGATTCACCCCACAAAAACATGGTATCGATACGTTCCACAGTCTCGGGTAATCCTAACTCCGTGAGGGGAAGTCCTTCTGTTGGTACACCGGGTTTGAGGTTCATATTGTCAATCAGAAGCCAGAAGCGTCGGCCTGTTTAAGCCAAGTGTAGGGAAGATGACCAGAAAAGTTTTGCGAGATATTTGAGCTTTGGAATATATTTGAAAGCAATCGAGAAGTTATGGTTTCAGAGAGCTTTGTAAACGACCGGCTAATTTATTTAGTTGTCAATTTTCTCTTCCAACCTGGCCGGAAGTAGCGTATGCGTCAAAAGTGAAACGTTGCCAAATAAATAAATCAACCGATTGTGCGAGGCATATACTTTGGCTTAAAGCAAGTGGTTCAATAAAACCACATTGGATTAGAAGCACATCAAACGATTGTGGATTCACTTGAAATACAGAAAGTATTGTGCACCAGTCTTCACGTCTAAGGTTCGAGTATCAGTCCCGTTATCTCACCCTAGGAAGCGCAAACAATCACAAGAAAAGTCCTTGAGTGTAGTGCTGTAGGTCACGTGCACAGAATTTAATTGACGGGGCTCCTTGTCGGTTTATCTCAAAACGCAACTGCGCGAAAGTGAGCAAGCCCATACTCAAGCACATGAGTAAACAGAGAGTTCGGTCTATCAGCTGTTCGGACGTTCGACATTGGATGATCGGAGCTTCATTGTCGCATGTGTGAATAAGTACAAAGACCTGGCAGCTGAGATGGTCACTTGGAAACAGAAAAGAAAATTATGATTCTAGATGAACTATTCTGAGTACAAAATTTTCGTGGAGTCTAACTGATGGACGGATTATCAACTTATGCTAGAGTAAAGTCAAAGCATTATGTCTACAGAAAGAAATTCAACTAAAAACTGCCCTTGCTCATTTAAGAGACAGTGCCCTTTATTCTTTCTTGGCTTGCTTTGTCCCAAACAGATGATCTTACTGATATTTCTCACCTTAGGAAATGGCTAATGTCACGCACTCCAATCACGTAGTAGACCAGTTACAATGACAACCGAGAAGCAGTTCTAAACCCCTGTGAATAACTCAGGAAAATACGTATTAGACGAACTAAGTTTGTTTTATATGTGCCGACAAAATCGAATCCCAACCACTGGCGAGTGCCAATAGGCTTGCTGAGACTTATTTAGATCAGTGGGAGCTTGGTTGGAAATTGATTTCTACGAACCAGCATTGGTACACGAAAATCCACTGCCCCTATACAATGCTGATTCTCATTCATAAGCAGTAGAAAAACAGCCATTTTAGCACTTTACTGGTTGCCCATACCAACGAAAGCACGCCGGAGATTTGCGCAGATCCCTGTTACACGGTGTAGATCGGTGGTACGAATAACCCATTGCAGAACCCTGATAAGACGTTAGTGTAGGAACGGAGGACGCTGTTAAGGAATAGGCAACCTAAATAATGATAATAATAATATTATTAGTATTAGTATTATTACACTATGTCATGTACATTACCATAAGGGGGCAAAACAGCTCACATAATAAGCTAATCTCAAAGAAAGATACATTAATGTCATTCCGTTAATGAAAAGGTGAACCTCTACGAAATCCGAAACAATAGGACGGTGCAGAATAACCTACCACTGAACATGTATATTGCATTGTCAAATCTCTCTAGACCAGCATCCACATGATCTACCGTCTTGGGCAAGGTTGGCCAGTAGTAGGTTATCTTTGCTGGTCCGTCGCGAAACTGGTATGAGACCCAAGTGGTAACTGTTTTTGACCAAGTTACTCGCCACTGCCACTAAGAATAGAACACACAAGAGTATGAGGACACGAGACAGTGAGATCATCAGCAAATCTCGCAATTCAGCACTGTGTTAGGAATCATATACAAGGTGAAAGGTGCCCATGTAGATTGCACCATCGCGTGCGCCACATAACGGCTATACCATAGTCCCCATAGGTAAATTATGAAGTCCGCACCGCTGCATGGTTAAACACTTTAAACATGAAAACTTGAGCGGCTTGCTTTAGTGACTTTTTATCTGATTCCAAGGCGATGTTAGAAAATATATGTGCAGAAAAATCATAGGTGAACTATAACCATAGGTATTTATCTCAGGAATGGAAATTGGAGGTGGTTGTGTCATATTTTAATGAAAGTTCTACGTGTCAATGTAAGTATACCATAATTATTACGCGCCAAGTGTAAAGGAAAAAGACAATGCTAATGATAAGATCGTTCTTATATCAAGACTCCGACAACGGATGTCAATGGATCTTGCGCTTTTCAACGTGATACTACATTTTCATAGGCCTGGAATCGCCGGAAGTCATCCATGCAGTAGTGAACCAAAAAGAACAGCAGTGCGTTTTAAAACAACCTATGAATCGGATTGCCAATTTGAAACCTATTATCCACTGTGTTATTCTGTGGAAAACTTTCGATATAATACATAGTAGCCACTTAAGAAATTGTCGGGGATGCAATATCTATACCTGTCAGGTCAACTGACACGGCTAGGAATCATCAGTGAATGTACTACGCGGATGCAGATACATCTCTCCTTGCAATGCGTTGCAGGAGGCCTGAAAAACATTCAGTAGTGAAAGACTTTCCCGAGAGTGTAGTGTAACGTGTTAGACAAACCTCGTTTAACGGGCTACTGGTGGCCTCGAGCTAGCCAATGGAGCTCATACGCTAGACTCTAAGACGGTGTTTGATGTTAGCGTTGGTTTCCGGAGTTGCATGAATATCCACAGGACGCCTACGCCTACAAAGAAACAATAGGTGGCATACACCACAGCTCTGTACGCACATTGCATATCCAGTGTTATTTCGAAGGCACAGGACCGGGAACCATTTGAGTGTGAGCCACAATTACCTTGATATTGACCAACACCTATTAACAGAACTCGTTCTTGAGTGGCCTCAAGGTAATCCGTCCCATAGTCGAAACCTGTTTTGGGCGCAGCGGTACTATGAAAATTTTTCACTCCATCCGTCAGAGCAAAGGTTTGTAGCCTCCAGAAGATGGAGATAGGACTGTTAGTCATCTTGTTAAACTTTGCACAGAGTGCAAGCAGACATGGTATATCGTGTAAGGATGAAAGTGCACAGCCTCAAGCCTCCGACCGTTGTAACAGGTGAATCAACCGTCTGTTATGACTAGACGAAAATTGTGTAGATGTTACGTGATACTTTGCAAGTGCAGGCTGATTTAAATGAGGCTGGTAACAACCTGACACATACTTACCGGCCCCTTGAAGATGTACAACTCAAGATTTCGTATTTTGATAATTGCGTCCACTTCAATATTGCAGTAGTTGAACACTTTCCCCCTGTCAGGAGCCGGTGTGGTCACTCGAGCTGTAAAGAAGCGTAGGGTAAAGGATATAGGGCGGCGGAACTGGCGGTTGGACTCAGCCCATAAGTGATTAATATGCGAGTTCAACACTAACTTTAAGCAGAAGTTAGCGTGTTCATTTATTCGTCTAGTTACGCACACTGAGGTAACGAAAAAATTCACACTCTGATTTGGATCCCTTGTTTCTTCATATACAAAGACAAACTAATTGAATATGTTATCAGTTGTAGTCTAGCGGCATTTTGTATGCGGCCAGCAACTGGAGGCAAAGGAATTTGAATAGGCCTTAAGAAGGAAACAAGGTCGATCAGCAAGCGGCATTCCACCACACCACTCATAAGACGGCCTGTTAGAGCATCTTGGGAGGTTGCCACAGGCTTGTTAACGCACGAAGAAGCGAGATCTTTAAAGCTTCTCTAAATAATGTTACCAACTAATCAGGAAGGTCTCAGTGAACAGGCTGCTACTGAACTTCTTAGTGAATTTGAATTGATTTTGAAACGAAAATGGAGGGAGGACACGCTCTGACTAGCTAACTGGTGGGTGTCTTGTGGTTAACTTTCACAATCTTCGGTTGCAAACTACTAGCTGCGATCAAGAACGACCTACGTTAGAAACAATATTTTCAACAGAAACAGAGAGACACTTAGCGATTCATTTCCGCTGGCGTTTCCATACTTAGAAAAGGACTGACGAAGGTTGCTTATTCGCTACTAATTTTGTGAGCAGACTTGAATGAAATACCAGATGATCACCATTCATGCATAAAATTCATGTTTATATGGTCCAATAAGTGCTCCTGTTAGAGAAACGCAATCTCGTTACCGCACTGCGTAATCCATCAAACATCCAGAACCATCTTATGCACAGGATAGAGAGACGACTTCATATCATTTGATATAATGCGCTGGTTGCCGTACTTAGTTACTTTCCATCAGTATTGTTTAGCAAATGATTTCACATATGACATCCATAGTTTTTAAATGGCAGATATCACCACAGGATACTAAAAAACGATAGGTACCTAAAACCAAGGCGCGTTATGATAATTTAGCTAACTAAAAGCCACATGGAGTGAAGGTAAATGGGCAGAGAATGTAAATATCTCACTGCATAATTAAGCGCACCTAAATGGAATCGCAATTCTTTATAAGAACTTATCACGAAGTTGAATAAAGGAACCAGTTAGGAGAGTTCTCAACGCGACAATGATGGGAGAGAAACAATATTTTTTCCAGGTGAGCAAAGGCCAGTGCAATTACTATTTGGTATTCAGCTATAACGAATCCTCTACTGTGCTTAAAGCGAATGGCAACTCAAGTGGATTGTCCCAAAGCTTTAACATATGACAGTAAAGATCCCCAACGGTCTCTGCTACAAATTCAGCACGCTTAAACACACTATCAAGGTGGACAAGTCAAACGTATAACCATTCAATGGTTTAGGAGTAGAAGTCTCAACTGGCATCCCGATCTTCCGGGCTCGAGGTCTGCTATCTCTACCTGATGAGATCTAATAAGTCTGAAACGAGTCGCGGGTTGTAGTGTTTTAAAGCGATTAACACCGAATATCAAGCTGCTTCTTCAGATATAGTCCCAGTGATCGAACTGACCAAGGTACACTTCAATGAGAATCGCGGTCCAAGTTGGGAATGCGCGTTGCAATCCATTCTAACAACGAACGCTTCAAAATGACTTATCTAATAACCCAGCATCTAGTTTATTCTCCCCAACTACTTATCCATCGACGAAAGAAACAGAAAAGCCTCTCATTGACTTTGGACAGTAGGACAAACCGCATATGGAATGCGCGTTGCTGACGAGTCTGGAAGGGATAAAACGGTTAGCCAGTAACTTTCCAGATGTGTGGCCATCGTGTAGCTTGATGTATTTGTGACGACCCTCCATTGAAATCGATTCAAACTCTATTTACGAGACTACTTTGACTCAGCATTTGTTTGTCAACCAGTGAGACATGTCAAAATTTAGCATAGAAGTGTATGAGAAACGATACACAAAAGTGAAATAAAGCAGCTTACGTGGGGGTGGAATATCTGGCAACTCCGGTGCAGGTGGAATAACTTTTCCTGGTCTGGGGGCACCTGCACAATGTACCAATTTTAAATGAAGTAAGAAATATACGGAAGTTATATAGAAAATGGCATAGTGCCTAGCGTGACTTCCAAGGAGGTGAGCAACGGAGTACATGCAACGAAGGCATGACCTACTACATTCATGCAGAGCGGCTCGGTAGTATTTTGTATTGCTATCTGATCAACAAACAGCATACACAACATCGGGGTCCAAGAGAACGTGCCAAACAAAGGAAAACATTTGCGGATTTGCATTCTGAAATAGCGAGCGCTATGCACGTAATACGTTACTAACAAACCACTGGCTAATGTACTTTTCCAGCGCACGAAATGTCCAAATTGTGTGAGATCAAAGCGTGTAGATACAATAAACAGAAGACTATCCGTTTGCCTGTTAAAGGAGGTCTCATTAATTCCGAATAAACCCCCTGTTTTAGTTCAGTGAAGAGTGTTTCCGGCTGATTGGTGGTTGCATCCCAGTCTGACTGAATCAAATTCAAATCCTATGGTATTGCTAAACTGTTATGCACAGACAATGTTTTCATCCAAGCTGCGACGTGCTCGTTACGAGTGAACACTCCACTCCGCTCACTCACAACGACCACAAGGTACCATCATTGGCGAACTGCTGTCCATACGACAACTAAATAGCCTGTATGGTGACGTTCTCTAGCTATGCATGTGGATGTTGGGGACGAATAGCCCAATAACTTGTGGATTGGAAAGCCTATCAAGTGCCGAAGACTTCTCAAATGGTACACAAGATGAATGCAATAATATTGGAATGCTATGGGTGGAGAAATATGATATGCTGACGATTTTCGATAACACGTGCTTCTTTACGGGTCGGGAGCGGAAGTAGTTGTAGCAGTCATTAATACAAATCATAACGAGGCTGTGAAACAGAATCAACTTTCGTGATATTAAAACTCATAAATCGATGTAAGAAGTCACAATAAATAAATGGTCATGACCATCAACTGGCTTACTATACTTCGAAGATAGATGTCATGATCCCGATTCTGAGTTGACCACATCAAGACGGACCGGAAATTACATTTCTGTGATTACCCCATCTCGAGGCAGCTGCCGCATTTGTGCACACCAAGCTGCACACGAGGAGACCGGTACAAGCTTGTAGTACCGGAAATGAAGCGGGTCGCCCACCGACTCTGTTTCGAAGGTAGTGATGAATGTGTGGAACAACTACGGCAGCAAGTAGCCAGGGTCGGAAGTCAAGAAACTCCTGGACAAATACTTAGCGCATTCCAACATAACGGGTTTTCGTACCTGAGTGATATTAGATACAGCTACACAGAGAAATCTCTTCTTGCTACTTTCAACCAGTAATCAGTAATCATTATTTACAGGTGAACGCATTGTTAAGTATCAGGATGGTCAAGGTTCCGACTGATTTCCAAAGGAAAAAGGATCCATAGTAACACCACCTAGGGCTGTTTGGTGTCTGCTCTTGAATCTCATGATTACACTTAAAGCAGAATACTCCAAAGACTTTTGCAACCCGTCTTTGATCAAAATTATAAAAACAGTTGCATTATTGCTGTTTTTGATAAGGAAATGGCCCAACATTGCTTCGCACGTTGGCCTAGTTGACTAATTTCAAATAAAATTCCCAGTGCATCTCTCATGCCCATCCAGCCTCTAGTTCAAACATCATTTCTGGTCACTCTCAGTTTGCCCTAATTGCCATCGACGCACTACCATAATTCGTTTTAAAACTACCGTAATAGACCCCGCTTAAGTGGGGATATTGAGGTGTACCATACTCGCCTTGAATGAATTGGAGCAGGGTCTGTACTTTTCTTCAGAAGACGGCCATAAGAGCAGTTAATTTAACCAGAGACCTAGCGGTTTACAAGATACTGACGGAGAACATTTGAAAGACGCGACAATTCAGGCAACGATATTTTTTTAGTGTTCAGGTTAATGAGACTGGCTCCCACCTAGTTATCAACGGTTTCCAACCAAATACCAGGTAATGCTGTACGGTGATAGAGTTACTGAACAAAGGGGATGCCGATGTGGCGCTTGTAAAGAAAGCCACATCTCAAACAGATCAAAAATAATCAGGAGAAAACAATTATTCGGTTTATCACTAGTTTCGTGGCACAATGTGGAAGCGGAGTTCTACACCAAAGTAATGATAGGCTAAGTCATTCGTATAATCTGAGTCTCGTGGTCATTCACGTAGTTACCGTAGACTAGCTTCTTTAGGATTCAGTAGGTCAAGTATAACATTCCGTAGTTGAACAAGAGCACTCCACAGATACCGCACTGTTTGGTTTTTAAAACTTGAGAGTTCTACGGACAATTATCTAGTTATTTCATATTGTAATACGCAAACGAGTGGGGTTTGGCGAAGTGCGATTTTCGCGCCATACATTTGTTATCGACGAAACGTAGCGTTGTGTGATGCTTGTCAATCAATGAAGGGGCTGGAACCGCCATAAATTGCATGAACATGACTATCAGAGACTAGCACAGTGAATGTGTATGCGAGCAGTTCTATACTCAACAGACAAGCCAAGATACCGATGTCAAACTACTCCATTTGAGTGCGTTGATCAGTCTGGTGAAAAAACGAGGTGACGGCATCCAGATGCCTCGCTGCCAAAATTTCCCTACAAATATGCAGTTGGTTCATGACTGAACTCCCGCTCCTTGATTTCTGCCTATGTGTGACGCAGTTTCAGATATGTTATCCACACTTCTGTTGAGGAAAAAGAGGTGTAATTGACTGCGAGGTTTGACAATAACAAGCACTGCAAGTAAATGTCATACGGTGATTGAAGCTAAAACCAGTGAGCCTGGGTGGGTATCCAGCGCAAGCGTAACATGGAGGGACACGTTGCACTTGGATGACAAGATGCTTACTGGAGCTAGGGAGCTTAAGATGAATTAACCGTTCACCAAAGGGGATAAAAACGCGAACACAGTGATCAAACTTACCGTAGATTTTCTGCGCTCCACTAATGTCATCTCGATCTAGTTCAACTTTTTTCCAAGTGCTCAAATAATACGGAAACATGATGGCTGTAGGCACAGTAGAATGTCCCAGTCCCAAACTGTGACCCATTTCGTGTGCAGCAACTGAGATGAGATTGCGGTAATCTGAAATCAAGCATTGAGCAGAGTCGATGTTGTGCAGTGTGGGTTGTGAGAATGGACCACAAATAAGAAACAAACAGGCTTGTTAGAATAGGAAGTGGACGAAGCAAGACGCCTATACATTATGCCGGCAGTTTGTGTCAACTGGTGGAAGCAATTATCTTCGCAGCAAGACATAACCACAATAAAAAGCAACGTATAGTCAACTTTACTGGATCCTATTTAGCACTGGGTCCTCGAAAAATCTATTTCATGGTTGTAGTTCTCTGTTTAATTCTACTGTTCTAACTCGATCCTAATTCTCTCATACCAGCACCAATCCAACGACTTCGACATTCAAGATAGGGACGATGTTTGCTACCAGCGGAATCTAGTTCCAAATCTTCAGTTGCTTCGACAGTGCGCACCACTCCACAAACAGCATAGGAATTGCTCATTTTCTTTGCGGTGTTATTAGGCGAGCTTGTTACTAACTGAGCAGCGCAATCGCGCCAGTCAACAGGTTAGAGCAATCATGTGGCCTAAGTTAGGGCTCATGCTACTCTGTGGTGTGCTAGAACTTCAGTACATTTAGAGCGTAAATCACTAATTACTTAGGCTTATCCCTGACAAATAAACGCAAGAAATTGATGCATCACCTATGTCGCGACTGCTGCAGCTTCAACGTGAATCCCGCCTCTATTAGTGTTATCTGCTGACTCCTTTCATAAGCTCACCTCAGGTTGGTCTTGTCAGGGAAAAGCGCTATGGGGCGAGGTAGGTGATGTTTCGGTTGCTATAGTAGCATAGAATGTAGCTAAGCACGGCCTCATCTGTGCACCTGAATGTGATATGTGATATATCAGTGTGCACAGTATCATCGTAAACGCCCTGTGTCACTTCAATGCACGCACCGTGCTACTGAAGTGTCGGAAATAAAGGAGGATGGTTAAGGTGGACATTTTGAAGCCCATATTGGGTGAATAGACCGTCCCACATAATCTTAAACTGGACCGCAATTCACATTAGAGTGGATGGCACTCTAGCTGGTCGCTGGGATATTATTTGAAGCAGTTAGACAGAAAAGCTTATTGAACTCGGACTACACCACACGATAAGTGGTTCAAGTTGACTCCCCAATGGGTTAGTAACTGCTGTGCCATGCCTCACCCGCGGCTCGGTGCCGCAGAAATTAAGACTTCGGCTGATAATCCCCGCAATAATTCGCTGTTATGCGAGTGATAAACACCCAACTTCTCGCTGTTACGACCGGTCAAAGTCGTAGTGCAGCAGAGCGGGACATATAAATTGCATTAGCAATTTTCGCCCCGATAATGAACTGAGTGAAGTGTTTCAGAAGAGCACAGAGTCATGAGCATGAGACATTCTTAAGCAAATGAAGTTCGTTTGCTGTTACCTTTATGAGGACCGTCGTTCCAAACCTCATCATCGTCGAAGTGGGCGTCACCGGAGAAGGAATAGACGTTATCCGGGGTTGGATAGTATGCATGCGCTAGGACACCACCTGCATGTGGGATAGATAAAGGGTGCATGTGGAAGTATCGATATCTTGATATCAGCGACAATTATCATTTGACAAGTTGCACGGATGGAAGTGGAAATCTACAATGCTGCCTGGCTCGGGGTTCTGTTCTGGATATCTCAATGGCATGAGAAGCGAAGCGAAAGAGCCTGTTGCTGAACACGATGTACAAAAGGAGAGTCAGTTGAACGAGAAGACTTTAACTGGAGACAGAGGTATTTAAACAAATACCAAGAGGCAGAAGAATCATCGAACACACAATTGCTCTCAGGACGCTCATTAATTCACCAGAAAAGGTTAAAATCCGGCTTATGACGGGAGACCGTGGATGTCTGAATAAGGAGTTGCAGAACACTAATGTATCAAATGAAGGGCATCATATAAATGAAGCAAAGATGCAACAGAATTCATTGCGCCTAATAATAATGCTCTCATGGTTATGGCAAGGTTTCAAATTAATCCCCTACCAACGGTTCACTGTCGTCACTTAGAACGATGCCAAAGAGCACGTTGGCGATACTTCCGAACGGAACAATTCCACCGCAAACTTACCAGGCCCATCAAATGGTATTGAATCACCGTGTTTCCCAGCGCCGAATTGAATAATGATATCCGCAGGTTTGTAGTAATCTTTTTCCTCCGAAAACACGAGGTCTGTTACCTTTGACCACAGATTAAAGGTGTACTGAAAGACAACGTGTGTCCGAGCCATAGTCAGCGCTTTTGTTGGATAGCTGCGTATTCTGAGGAAGTAAAAATAGTGTCATCGGAGAACATGGAAACAGAATGAAATATAGAGGGGACAAGCAAAACTACGAGAAAGCCGTGCTGCCGTAATATGTAAAATTAGGTTCGTTGTAAGACGTCGACTGCTTTAAAAGCATATGGTCGCCTAAGTTGGGGATTCAAAAAGTGTACCCTGTTTTGAGGCCTCATGCAGTTTACCTCATTGGTGCAGAGTTTACAAACTGATTTAATGTATCCAATAAGCCGTTCAATCCGATTCCCACCTATAAACAAATATCAGAAATATCAAATATCAGAAATATAAATAATATCAGAAACAAATATCAGACTCACAGTGGATGTCTACTACTAACAGAGAGACCCGCTGTGGAAGATGCGGGACACACTGTTATTTGTATAGCTGTTCCCCACCTGCTGTAACAAATACAAGCAGCGTCGTTTGTGTGTAACAAAATTAAATCGGTGTTGCGGTGTTTATACACGAATAAACCATGTCCCTGGGCAAAATAACAACCCACATTTGATTGTCGGGTGGTAGATCATCCACCGTATGTCTTAGATTGCGGCACGCAATCCTAATTGGGGCATGGTTGACTTTGAGGTCAGCCTATGCCAATCCGATCACTGGGACCGTCACCGAAGTGGAGGGTTTCGGTGCGGCTCTCTCCCATCCCTTCATTTCAGGACCGATGGTTTCGTCCTGGTTTGGACTCATCAGGTAGAGATAGCTGAGCTGGGAGTGAAATTCGGCGCATAGTGCTTGGCGACTATCGCCATAATCACTAGGCCATTGAGCTTCGAGAGCAGGGCTTTACACAGCGGTTGGTAGTTAATTGTTGGGTTTCAAAACACTTCCCGTATGTCTTTGATTGCGATTCGCAGCCTCACTTGTGGTTTCGGTTGACTTTGAAATCGGCCTCTGCCATTTCGTTTCCGAAGTAGAGGATTTAGGTGTTGCTTCCTCTCATCACTGCATCCAGAGTTAAGTGGTCACCTCGTCAAGCTTGCTTGTCATATAGTTACGGAAATTAAAGTTTGCTCCACATGCATCCGTGATAGATCGACTTCATTATGGATAGCTCGAGACGAATGACCCCACATGGATGATGGGTAAGAGGTTAGTGCATCGCTTTTAACCTACAAGAAGGTGTATCATGGAGGAAGAACATCTGGTCCGCCGCACCGTCAGTTTAGTGTAGAGCGAGTTAGCTTCGCGTTATATCTAGAGCAAAACTCTCCCTTTACAAAGGCCTCGAAACAAAACAGTTAACTCTTACTTTGTTTTAACGCGACACTTTATGATGCTATTCAGAAGGATTGTGAGAACAACCCCTGTATGCACACACGGTATACTTACTGCCAAGTTAACTTCTTTTTGCTCCACTTCATACCTTCGTCGCCGATCAGAAAGCGTTTACTCCGGTACAACTCACGGTCCACAGAGTGGAGCCTCCGTCTCCTTGCAATTTGTATGTTGATGCTTCTGTTTGAAGTCTGGTCATGGGTGCTCACAACAACATCTGGGTTGCCACATCTTGGCGAAGACAACAGATCTGCAGTAGGTCGGTCAAGCCTTCCTGTAACAGGTAGACGATAGGTACGCTGAAATCTTCGAAGTGCCTCGTGGTATTCAGGCGGGGGTAGCAGCATTCCTGAGTTGTCCTCAAGCAGATGATGCGCTGGGCTATTAGCAGGATTTAGGGGGTTTTTATTGGTTGTTTCCTTTTGAAAGTACCCGTAAAGATAGAGGAGATCCTAGGGAAAAGTAAAAAAATAAAAATGAAGTACAGATTTTAATACAGAGAGGAAGATCTTTGCAATCTTGCTTATTAGTGCTCCTACATGTATCGACGGATAATGCGGACCAGCTTTGCGAACCACTAGATGACACAATCGCCACTTCTCTTAACTGAACAGCGTTTGGTGATAAGAAAAAGTATTTCGGCTGGCATGCGTCCTCTTGTTAGTTGGTATGAAGCACGCTTCTCAATTTACTTGGAATCCCCTACCTATCTATCTCCCTAAAGTTGGTCTCAACGTGAATTGGCTTGTGAGTCTTACCACTTGAGATTAAATTACTCAGTGCAACCCTACCAAAGAGTCCATATCGTCAACAGGTAGTGAAATTAAGACACCTTAGCCCATCCCAAGGAAAATTACATTAAGTAGAACTTCATACTAGTAGTTACATTTTTATCATAACAACTTTATTCCCTGAGCACACACATGTGCACATGCCCAGCTGCCTAGCTCAAAGTCCTCTGTCCCCATGGTAGTCGAGTAATTCACTCTTGAGCAAAGAATTGGCAGTCACAGTTGTGTTGTCGTGGAGTCAATTGAGATGGTTTGGTCACGTGTTGCACATGCCCAACGAATGTTTTTCACGCTGCGCTCTGTTTGCGCACGTAGGGCTCCTTTGGTAAAGGCCGAGTGGAGGTCCGTTGTCAACCAGGCGACAATGTATGAAATCAGTGACATGTTGTCTGGCCGTTGCCGGTCCCGTTCAACTCCCCGGGTGGGGACCCAAATATGTAGAATGCCAATGGCTCACAACACTGCAAACAATCACGCAAAACCCGTCGCAGTGGAAGCAATGTGCACAAATATACCTAAAGTCGCGTTTACAAAAACACTAACCCATATATATATATATATATATATATATATCAGATGGCAAGGTTAACAGGATAGAGGCTGTGAAGTTAAGTAACTCTGACCTAGCCGAATGTGACAGGAAGGTCACACACGAAAATTATTAAGGCGGGACTGTCACTGACCAGAACGAGTGGTTCTAAATCAAGCGCATTGGTGCAACCTTCTCAAGCGACGCAATAGTAAAGTTCAATTCAAGTCAAGAACTCACGTTTATGCACCCATGAAGGGTAAATTTTCAGCGCGCTTGAAGCGGTGAAAAATATATAATACATGCAAAAATAGTAAAAGCAAATGGTGGTAAAACAATGTTTCATGTGTGTTACATGATCACTAACATACTTTGCTATTTAGTTCTTGAATGATAATATTCGGATCAAGCAGAAATCTAGCTAGTTAAGGTATGACAGATGAGCCGTAGGCCTGCGTGCGAGCATATATGGCTCTGTAGTTTGGTCGTGTTGAGAAACTAGATTTACAGTTGGATAGAACACTATGTAATGGATGGCTGAGATCAGTGAGTATTTTCGAAGCAAGTTTTGAGCATAATTAGCATGAACAGATACAATGTGTTGAACTAAGATTGGTTTAGAAATGCACTGCGACCCATGAAATAGTTTAAAATGGGTACCCAATAGGCCCGGGAAGATCACACGAGAACAGTATGTCCAGTGTAGTAGAACACATGCAATGAAGAATTGCAGGATCAACTGGTGGGAGACTAAGGACGAAGGATGACATGAGACATAAAACACCAGTCGCCTGAATTTGGTGAATACTTCCTTCACGTGAATTGACCACGATAAATCATGGTTCCGTGTGATTCCCCGCTGCTTTACTAACGTTGAGAAACTCAAGCTTTCACCACTGATGTGAAGTTGGGGACAGTCAGCGACGAGTTTCTGGTAACGATCTGCCTTATGCAGCGAAAACAGTACATCATTGCACGTGGAAGCATTGAGCGATAAGCCGCGGAAGTTTGACCAATACATGATTGCATCCAAACGAAATTGCATCATGGTCGAAGAGGCTGAAATTAGGTGATTCGCGCCGATTAGTACGTCATTGGCTTATTTTAGCATTATGGTTTCTTCGGGGACAGGGATGGTGCCAACATACGTAGAGAGTAAGAATGGCGACAAAATGACTCCTTGAAGGACACCGGACGTAGTGGTCAGAAGCAAGGAGCGCCTGCCATTGAACTTGGTTATCTGAGTACGTTTGGCAACATAATCCTGCTTGGAAACCAGAAGCCAGGAGATCTTGCAACAAGGTTTCACGGTTAACACAACCGAAGGCGTTGGTGTAGTCAAAGAAGCGTACACGTGTATCTTTGTTCTAGTTGTCTAGCGATGATAGCACTGAGTGCACTAGACAAGCCATTGCGTCTTGTGTTGACCTCGAACTTCGGTATACAAATTGACGTGTATCATTCAGACAGGATTGGGTTAGCAATTTTTAAAGAATGAATCCCTCGAAGGCCTTTAAAAGCACCGAACTGCACGTAATAGATAGCTATTTACCTATCGATTTCTTCGGTATTGATGTTATGCTAACAGCTCTCCAACAGCCTGCGATCTTACCTTGGTTTAGGCCCGTAGTGTACAACAGCTAGTGGTTGGGCTAGAGAATCGACACACTCCTGAAGGATGAAGGGAGACAGTCGGTGAGGTCCGCTTGCTTTTAGTTGGGTAAGCTTTCTGTGAAGTGTTGCAACATCAACAACTAGCGATGAGCCTGTAGCCCACTGCATCTGTGCAGATGACGAGTTGGGGAGTGAGTCACTGCTGAAGCAGCAGTCTAAGTCAGAGTTCGGACTATGAAGAGCGACTCCACTGAATTGTTTCATCATCTGCCAGATCTCAAGGAAATGATTTTCCCAGAATTGTGTAGACGCAGGCATGATTGAGGTGGTAAATTTCTTCCGTTATGCATATGGAATGAAACTCTACGGAGGCACGATCTTTAACTTTGAAGGCTCTCTTCTTAAGTCGACGTAGTTGCTTGAGGAAAAGGTGAGGAGAACCGGTCAGCATGAATGAGAATAATTTCCATAGGGCAGCAGAGATACAAACATAAGTTTAGTTAACTTATCATCCCTTCACAATATGTTGAGACAACTGTATCGGAAAACAAACTGAAATCTGCAGAGACAACTATTTCATTCACTTGTGCTATATTTGGGGAAATGGTTTGTTTCCGTTTAATTTTATCTTCTTTTCAGCGTGTGACTTCCTTGTGGTTCATCTTACTGTAGATGACAGGAGTTAGTTTGACTATCTAATGATCAGAGATTCCAAGTGGTTGTTAACAAACACCAAGTCCAGGGTTGCTTCTAAGCTGGTGGGACATTTCAAGATGTTCTGTAGTTTAAGTGTTGCAAGGAAAGTGGTGTCAAACCTATTGAAATCACCAGCAAATATGCATAGGGAATGGTCTATGTGTACAAGGACCGCAGTCATGAAGTCATTGTAAAATTTGTTTGCTGCTGAGCGTGGACAACTGGGGGATATATAAAAGTTGGCTATCAACACTGTGCTGCAGTCACTCAGATATTTTGACAGCCACTTTAGAACTAGGCAGTCTACAATAATAATAAAATAATGTGACAGCTGTACGCCGTAACGGCGCTGGATAGTCGGCGACGAATAGCAGAAACGTTTCTTCACTTAAGAGCACCAGGAAGCGTTAATAAAGGTGATAACACCACCACTCTGGTTGCGGAACGTGCATGGGCGATCAGCACGGTGGAAAGTAAAACCGTCAACTGCTACAGTAGCGGTTTCATGGTCTTTGTGGAGTCAGGTTTCCTGGGACATAATTACTCCTAACTGCGCGTATTCGCGACAGCAGATGTTGCTCTTAAGGTCTACCATTTGTCCAAGAAGTGAGCGGACGTTGGTGCTGAGAAAAACTGGTATGCTCATACTCAACAAATGGTTCTTTCTCAGAGCAACCCTCCATCCAGCACGATGCTTCTTTGCACATTGGTTACGTTTTCATAGATCTTTCTCACTTTAGTCCGGATAAATCTAAATGTGTCTAACAATTGCGCGGGAAAGCAAAGCGACTTCGAAATTTCACAAATGTAAATAATCGTGACACTAATCGTAGATAGAGCAGTAGGTGAGTAAAACAATGGGTGGATAAATAGTACCGTTAAAGGCGCTAGTGTTGGTACTTCTTGGAAAGCGGAACGTAGAGCACCGCTAAAGTTGAAGGCCTCACTACTGCTCGATATCAAGTTCAGTCCGGACTAGGTTGAGATAGCGACAAAGGCGGATAACACACATACAACATCGGACTAAGAGTGTAGGAACTACATGGTTGATAGGAGAAGGAGCAACGGTAGGGATGCGTGAGTTGACGATGACATTTTGGTACGTACTATATGACGTGGTGCGAAGGTTTGCGTACCTGTGTGACCCATTGAGCTATGCTGCGTAGCACTTTCGAAATGTCTTCAGAGCCACTCGTACCAGATAAGTCAATGACAATGGGTCAGACTAACCCAGCCTCACAATCCTCATCGGTTAGGGAGAGGTAAATGTCTCACTTCACTTAAAAGCTAGTAATGAGAGACAACAGCTCTACGGATTATAAGCTCACAGCTCGATCGGGGCAGAGCAGGAGCGCACCGATTGTTTCTGACCGTGGAAGGGCACATTCCGGTGCACAATGGTTTGCTACCGGCCATCTCGAGCCGAGCAACTCATGGTCAGATTAGTACAAGCCCGACAACTCCCAAGGGCGCTTGGACGTGATCACAGAAACGGTCGAAAAGTACATGGGAATCGTACTGCATCTTCGATGGTCGAGTGTCACAGACCTCAAGTAGATCCCAATCGGTTTTTGCAGTCGTCCTCGTGATCTGGAATTGCTCTCCACTGCCTTGTGGGTTAGGCCATTGAGCCAAAGGCAAGAGGCATGGAACCTTGGTTGAAATTACTCAGTCAGAATGGGCAGTCGGACAGTATTATTTAAACTTTTGCTCCCACCGACAATACGCCTTCCACTTTTTCTCTTTAGCTACCCTTTCAATTATCTTCTACCACGTCTGTTGATCAAGAGACTGCCCCTGACCTCGCAGCTACTGCTATCGA